CAAATCGTCAATAATAACAAACATTGTTTCTTCTAATTATTAAAGATACCACGCTTAGTGTTAATACAGTGGTATACGAATTTAACACAAAAACTCAAAAGTGGAACACACCAAATATTTCAGGAACTCTACCAAAAAGACGAAAGGAAATTCAGATTGTACAGGACAATTCAGGCAAAGTGTATATGTTTGGAGGATTAGCTAATCCTTCAACAGGTTCTACGAAAACAAAATGGTTCAACGATATGAACATTTTAGATATCATTGAAATGTCTTGGTCAAAAGTTTCAAATTTCAATAATAATACACCTCCACTACAAGCTGATTTCACCGCCACCATGCTGAATAATTCAGTCATCGTATATATAGGTGGAAGACAGACTACTTCAGCATCAGGGAAGACTAAAAGCTATAGGAGTATGGAAGAAGTACGTGTATACAATTCATCTTCATAAACTTTCTACTAATTTTATTCGTTAATCTTATGCATTTGTATGTGTCCTCTATTAAAGATTTGGACGTATGATACTAAGAATGCGTCTTGGACATTAGTCGTAAGTATTTCATTCCAAATATCTGTCACAATTTATATATACATTTGTAATATTTCATATAATTATTCCATAATTCCGATTTATAGACTGCGATTGGAGATGTTCCTGGTGTTCGTATGGGCCATTCTGCAGTTTTAGGTGAAAAGCATTCTACGTATAAAATTTGGGTTTAATATATTTATTTGACTTATTTAAGTCTAACCAAAAATATTTATGTTCTAGCGTTGGATGGTCGAATCATTGTATTTGGTGGATACGGCCAAAATTCATCTTCTGCCGATCCTCAGCTTGCCGTTCTCGACACTTCAACCTCACCATTTCAGTGGTCACTTCCTAATGTCTCTAATCCTATTCCGCCGGCATTAGCTTATCATTCTGCTACTTTAATAGGCGATCTGATGATAGTAGCATTTGGTAAATGTCATATTATTTTATTACATATACTTAAATATTTTTTCGCCGCATATCTCTGTATTTTTGTTTATCTTTTGAATTAATTTTATAGGAAACATCACACAACAGACATCAACAACGTCCGGCGCAACACCTGACATTTATATCCTTAACACTAGTGATTATACATGGGTTACTTCTACTGACGCCAAAATTCTTTCATCTTCTCCAATCAATGACACGACACCAACCGAAAATCCTTCTCTAACTTCAATTTCAACAACTTCAACAACCATACAAGACTATACGACACAAACACCTTCAACCACGATTGTTTCGACTCCGGAAAATGGTGTGATATCACCTCATACGGCAGTGGTATTAGGTGTATCGATTGGATCT